GTATACTAAAGCACAGATTTATTGATTAATTACTTGCTATAATTGAAGGCACTGAACAAGTATTTTTTCATATACACGTACATGTAATGAATATTTTTATTTAAAATACATATAAAATTCGAAAAAGAAACATAACTGCACAAGACATTTAAACTAACAAATAACATGTGATGAATTATTTTAAAACATAACTCTTTTTAACCTAACACTTGGCACTTGAGGCATCACTTACACCACATTTTAACATTTTAAGCTTTGTTTAATCTATATTAAACATCGAGAAGTTTTTTTCACATCGCATTTGCAGGTCCATAGAGCGAAAAAAAAGGGGGGGGTATTTTTCTGAACATAGACTTTTCCTGTAGTATAGTCTATTCCTCTAGATTTAATATGTAAATTTTCATTTAGATGCTGCCCCCTATTACTTTCTGTTGCTGTAATGTCGAGTGCTGGCGAATTCCAACACTTGAAAAAAAAATCTATAAACAGTTAGAGAAAGTCCACCCCTCCCCACACACGAACACACAAATTAGGATTTTCAAGGTTTTTTTTTAAATTTATTTTAATTTTACTTATCAGATTTCTTTGGGAGGTTGTCCATTCCCCCACTGTTTAAACCATAGCTACAGTACCAACCAGACCCAACCTGACACAAAGCAGTCCCGGGGACTGCTTTCTGGGACTGCTCTGGGACTGCTAAAGCAGTCCAAGAGCAGTCCCACAGCGGTCCCAGAGCAGTCCCACAGCAGTCCCAGCAGTCCAGCGGTCCCAGAAAGCAGTCCCAGCAGTCCCAGAAAGCAGTCCCAGTGGGCGGGGTTAATTAATTTAATGGGCGGAGCTTACTCAGAAATGAGATTACCAATAAACAATGTAACTATAAAAGGCAGTTGAAATTGATGATCCATTTCTTTCTGAGCAGTATCAATTCTCATGCGACAGTCATTTTTGAACTGTTAAGAAAATCACACTACGCGTATAGAAACAAATAATAAATATGAACAAAGAAGACGTTCACACCTACTAATAACATGAATATTTAAACACAGTTTTGTGGTATATTAATTTTTCACCAAAATAAATCAATTTCTAAATTACTGTGATTGATATTGGTTTCTATATTCCTTTATTTTATTTTTTTATAGAAAATTAAACTTGTTATTTATTTTCTATCAAAACTAGCTTTAAATAGGCCTTATAATTATAGAGCAAGGCCGATTTCCATACTATACTCTGAATGCAATTTTATTAAGTACTTGAGCTTTTGAAAAATTCTTTGTGTATTATATTTCAGTCATGATTATTTTCACTGACCTGCCAATTTAATTATCGTTAGATTATCTATGTAACAGAAAACAATAATACTTTTATTATATAAACGTTTGAGTATACATGTGTAAATCACGCGAATGGAACCCTCAGATTATGTTCAAAATTCATTAATCCCGAAATAAATTTATACACATTTATTGAAACGAAGATTTTTTGCAGTACATAGATTGAAATTAGTGTCATTGTTGACCAGCGGGTTCAGAGATGTGTAACACTGATACCCAAATAACATGCATTGACTTTCTGCTAATCATGCCCGAAGGCGATTGAAACCTCAGGTGTTGACACCATTTTATACATTTGTATTGCTTTTTATTAATCGGCCAGGAAAACACAAACAAAACAAATAAGAAATAAGTCACAATTCCCAATATTTTAAAATGTTTATAAATTAACTCTTTTAATAACTTGTTTATAAATAAAAACAAATTCATGAATAAATCCCCCAATAATTGTTCACAAATATAATTGTTTAAATGACTGAAGAATGGTAGAATAATTTAATTTCATGGTCATTTAATAAATTATTAGGTTTTATTTGAGGGCGGTAAAAAAAATTGCATGGAATGCTCTTTTTTAGCATGCATAGGGTTTTAGCTTTTTCAATTCAAAAAAATCCAGTACAGTACGTCCCTCTGAATGTCTTATTGAAATGACAAGTTTGTTTTTTAGTTTGTTTGTTTGTTTGTTTGTTTTTTTTTTGGTGTGTGTGTGTGTGTGTGTGTGTGTGTGTGTTTTAAATAGTGCTAATGCAAACTTTGAGTATATTCCGTAACTTGACAGCAATTAATTAAATAGGCCTCGATATTTTTTTTCAAACACCTGTATTAAAGTTTTAATTAGCATTAATTAATTGAATTGGCCTAGATATATTTTTTTTTTCAAACACCTGTATTAAAGTTTAATTTAAAAGATAAAAGTCATCTCCTGACTTCCCTTTTAACTACTTTCATTTTTTTAAATTAATTCTAGACTACAATTGTGTAAATTTACAGCCCCTGAAGAAATTTAGTAATTACTTGTATATCTATCTCTACTTATTAAAATGTTGTAAAAAATCCTTGGGTTTTTTTTATTCTAAATCTTAAACACCTCTCTGCTGAAAGTAAACAAAACAATAACAGGGAGCCTGCAAATTCAGAATACACAAGGGGCGGAGCTATCATGTCACTCAGAACCTTTTTCATGCATGAGTGAACAAAGCAGTCCCAGAAAGCAGTCCCAGGGACTGCTGGGTCTGCTTTCTAGAGCAGTCCCAGAGCAGTCTCACAGCAGTCCCTGAGCAGTCCCACAGCAGTCCCAGAGCGGTCCCAAAGCAGTCCCGGGGACTGCTTTCTGGGACTGCTTAGGTGTCAGGTTGGGTCTGGTTGGTACTGTACCTCTTTGTTTGGAAGCAATATCTTAAGTTAGCACCGTTTTATTTACATCAAATTCAGACACGTTGCATCGTTTTTGAAAGGGGGGGGGGTAAATTTGATAACTTACCTTTAAAAATATTGTCTATAACCCAATTTCATTGAGGGGGGGTTAAAATTCATTTTTTTTTCAATTAATCGTATCTTACGCTTCTTGATAGATTTTTTACCAAAATAAATTACATGTATATTGTGATTTGAGTTTTATAGGGATGGCAATCGAATACAGAATTGCAAATCGGTTAACCGCAAGACGTTCCGACGGATTAATCGGTTAATCGTATCAAAAATTCTAGATATATTTCAGCATTGTAAGCTCTGTTCAAATAAACAAGACTATGAAGAAATTATCTTTAGTAATTTATTTTTGTTTATATTTTATCAGATATATACGTTGTTTCAATTTTAATAGGGAGAAAATTAAGAAATCCAGGAGACATGCGTGAAGTATCAGTTATATGAAAATATATGTCAGAAAAAATTATATGTCAGAAGAGATGATACGGAAGTCCATTTTGCATTGTCACCATAATCAAAACTAAGTCTGAACTATAACTTAATTTGCAATGTTTGTTTAATATAATTCGATAGATAAGTGCAAAGGATAGAAGAGATAAGATACACATTATAATCCTTTTACAGTACTCAACGATCATTTAATGAAAATCATTAAAGAAACACAGGACAGGCTGGGTAACGACATTGTGTTTAAACAGCAATTAACATCTCGAAAAATGACCAATTACCTCCGCGTTTTAAAACCAGATAGCCTTAATTATCTCCAAATCAGCTTAAATAGATAGGTTAAAATGCTAAGATTTAAGACATGCTAATTTGTATTTTTTAAATTCAATTTTCAGGAAAAAGTGTTCAAAATTACGCTTATATCATTTTTTTTTCGACTAACCGATTACAGATTTTCTAACCGATTACCACCGTTCCGACCGAGTAACCGGTTAACCGATTACAAATTGCCATCCCTAGAGTTTTATGATGCAAACTTACAAAGATTTAGAAATTATTTATTGTTATAATATTAAAAGTCATTGCTTTGCAACGGTGATTAAAACTAAGTTAGATTAAAGTATATAAAGCAAAATTTATTTAACTCATTTAATACTTATATTGAAAAGAAAAATGACATATGATCGATAGATTTTTCCTGTTTAAGAAAGAATGCTACTTACATGTTCACGGAAATGTTATTCAACCGATCTTTAAGACATCTCCTCTGAAATATGGCTTAAGTATGGAAATATTGATATTAGTTTAAAATAAGTTTAAATTTATGAATTTTGGGGGCTTTTTAGGAGAAAATGAAAAGATTGTTTAAATTGCAAATAAGCTTGTTTGGAGTTTAAAGTTTGCCCTAAATAAATGGATAATATAAATATTTAATTAAAAAATGTCAAGGAAAATCAGATAAATTTTTTTTATTAATTTTTGCTAAAAAATTATTTATGAAAATAAACACATTATTTTTAGCATTTTGTTAAACTAATGGATAAAATCTTCAAGATTTTTACATTTCCCCTGAAAAAAAAAAGATCATGTAAAACAATAAATATCTTCTATCAATCTTTCCATGCTGAAACCTGTTTCAGAAGAGATGCCTTAAAGATTCAAAAATTGTTGCTGTAGAATTCCTCCTTCAATAAATACAGGTAAAGCTAGTTCATAAATGATTGTAGATTCTACCTGTACCCCTTAGAGGGCCCCTTAATTGAGTGTGATAATTAGATGTTTGTTTAGTCCTGTAGACTACACGGTAAGGGATATATTTCTATACATTTATCTAGTGGCTAATTATTAACAATTAACTCAAAGGTTTCTAAATACACATAGATCCGATTTATCAAATATAATTACTTTTTGTTCTGTTTTGACGTTACCTGCACTAGTCTCCCGACAGGAGTAAATGCCTATGATCATTAATCTCTGAGCCGTAAACACCACGGGAGACAGATCCTCAATAAATTTTGTTTTGCTGCATTAGGCATAAAATTTTGAATGCCGATGTTCCAGAACAATTATAATTACAATTACTGTATGAACTTCTTTTCTGACAGAATCAAAATTTTCAAGAAAACGTCATAACCGAGGAATACTTCAACTATAAACAACTCCGCCCTTTATTGTATTCCTGCTGCATTTTTATGTGTTTATAATGAGATATAAATAAAACGTCTACGTACGAGTTTATAATGTAATATAAATAGAATGCACAATTCGGCACACCTAGTCAAGGAAAACGATTTCTGTGAAGATAGTGGGAAGAAAATTATAACAAGCCAGAATTATTGCAAAAAGGATAGGAAATGAATTAAGAGGATATGTGATAAATTCTAGTAAGTAACTTGTATGCTTATGACTATGATAAAATTGGTTCAATGATCTCTAAATTGAAAATCCTTACCCTCATTGGGTTATTTTTTTTCAAAACAAGTTTTCCTGCATTTGTTAAGAAAAAAAGAATCTTGATAAAAAAAAAATTGACATAACTGTAAATATAAACTAGAAAGGTACAAACATTAATCCCGCAGTGTCTATACAAAAACAGCACTATTTTAATGTGTTCATGAAATATTTGGCTGCTTTGTCTGTCTTTTTTATTCTACAGCCCTTCGTGGCGCAGTGGTTAGAGCGTCTGCTCTAGAGTCGCGAGGTAAGGAGTTAATCCTTACGTCGCGGGTTCGAATCCCACTGTGGGACGTGGAGACCGGTCCTTCGGATGAGACCGTATAAACCGAGGTCCCGTGTCGCAGTAGGTGCTGGCACGAAAAAGATCCCTCACTGCTCAATGGCCGTAAGTGCCGAATATAGGACAAAATTTGCAGCTCTCCACCGGCAAGTGGTGGCATCTCCATATGAGTGAAAAATTCTCAAGAGGGACGTTAAACAACATACAATCAATCAATCTACAGCCCTTCGCCAATGACTATAAAATACTCAAGTCGTTGATTAAAAAATCATATCCAAATACAAACCATGGAAGATCCTGCTATCATTTCTGTTCGCGAAAAAATAAAAAAGAAGAAAACATTGATTGTATAGATAAAAATAAGAACTTTGATTTTTTTCCCCTTTCAGGCGGTAGAAAAAAAATCTTAAATAACCACCACAACAGTATTTTGAGTTTTAATGCCCTATGGCAAATCAACATGAGAGAAATTTACAAGTGGTTATATTAATTTCCTATTTTCTTCCTCTTGAATGCGGTAAGTTTTTTTCTCTTCCCCTCCTCTAGATAAATATCTTTAAAAAATGACAGTTTAACCCATAATATAACTTTGCCTGTTTTTCCTTCTGCCAAGTGTAATACTAAAGTAATATTATTATTTAATATCTCCTCTGGCTCAAATACAACTTGACTAACCACTAGTACCTCATGCAAAACACAACTCTATTTTAACAAATACTCCCAACAGCTTACCTTTCACCTCATGTATTTTTTTTTTAATTAAATGCTTCATAAATCGAAGTAGAGTGGAAAGCATCACCGACAAAATTGTCTTCTAAGTATAGTTTTCAAAGAAAATGACACATTAAAACTTATGCATTAGCTCCATATAGGTAAACACACACCTTTTGAATTAATTTTGCATAATTTTAAAGTTAACATAGTTTTGGCAAAAAAATGTTCAGGTGCGTTTTAAATAACATATATCTTCCCCATCTTTAATGTTTATTTTCTATGTATTATTTACATTTACAGGTGTTCAAAACCAGCGTCGTACGATGTTTTCAACTTTAGGTCAATAAATACGTACAAGATAGCGAAAGTGTCGTCTCAAAGAAGTCGTATTTTTACGACTTCAAATCTGTTTTTTCTTTTCTAACATTTAGATAAGCTTTGGCTTCATATTTGTCTCACGCTATGCAACTGACATTCTAGTTCATATCGCAACAGAAAATAATTTTTCTTTGTAGATTGTTTTTTCAATATTTACTTTTCATTGATTGGGAAATGACACAATGTAATTATTTCAAAAAAGGATGCAAGAAAATCAGGCTTATATGACGAAATTTAGTAAATGATCAAACAATAATAAAAGGTTTCATTTTGCAATTAATTTTGTTTTTCTCGTTGCCATGGAAGATAATTATATCAGGAAGAGTATGTATAATGTATATTATGTATTTGAACTACCTAAATTTTGCTTCCAGTGACGTCACTATCATGTGGCTCATCAGTAAATGCCATCACATTAAACCAGTCGATAGAAACTTTCAAGTATCCTGCATCCGGCATTTATCCAACGTACGTAAAAAAAAAAAACAGCTGAATTATATCTAAATAACAAATTGGATTTAAACTTATATTTATTACATTTCTTTATGAGGAGAACATGTGAGTTAAAAATGGGAGAGGGGATTAAAGTGTTTATCTTTTGTACATTGAAGAAGATGGCCAAATAAGCGAAGAAAAATGCCCATGGCTCGTCTAAATACAATGAAAATGATGAAGATAACGAATGGCTTTTGATCTCCAAAATCTTTTAAATAAATAATACACATTTGTGAATAAGCCATAAAACATGGAACCCTATCAACCTTGAATTTTCAGAGGTGGTTTCAAGCCTTGGAGAGGTAAGATTTCTCTGGTGATCAATCACGCCAGTCATGATCAATATTTACTTATTAAGTAGACGGAATTATATGTAGGCAAATTTCGTATATTAAGAACAATGGTCTAGCAATTAGTATTGAACATGAAATATAAAGTACCATTGGGTCTTATTTTTTAAACAATACAAATTTTTTAAACAATACAGATTTTTGAACAGGGTCCAAAACACGAACCTCTGGAAATTTCAGAGGAGGGATCAGGTGCCTACGACCAAATTATTGGTTGTATTTGCAAACAAGGACATCGTAACGACCATAGAATTATCAAAATACTGACTTTAAATGAGGTGGTTGAATCAACATATTTTTCAGTAGCCTGCTTCAGTTTAAAATTAATCGTACTCAGAACATGCTCTTGCGTATGGAATACGTGAGGATACATAACTACCATATACAGTGAAGTATTCCTATAAGTATAAGGAAAGTAGAGAATCCCACCTCTGATGTTTTGGAGGTCCGTGTTTGCTCTGCTCCTATTTTGTAATGTTTAATGGACTTTTGAGCTTAAATACTGTTCGTTATCTCCATATATTTCATACATCATTATATAAGTATAGGGTTGCTTCAAATGCATCAATACTAACGTGATAAACTAAATATACTATAAACGTCTTTAATATAACGTGTTCAATATTTCAGGATTTTCTTATCTGAAACATTTCCAGTGGTTTTAGTTTTGTAAACACTAAATTTTTTCATTATTAGATATTTGTCTTTTTTTAAAAAAAATATTCCTTAAAACAAAAACAGTTATGATGAGCTATATTATTTTATTTCAAGAAATTAATTTTAAACGGCCACTGTTATTATACTGGCGTTTCCAAATGATTTTCAAAGCTTAATTCTTGTACAGATTGTAAATTACATTTTAAGGTATGGAAAGTACGTATATTTCATACATGAAAACTACATTGTTATGTCGAAAATATTCGAGGTGGCTTAATGTTTGCGGTGAAATTCTTTAATCGTGAACATAGTGAAATTAAAACCATTACAAAGTATTCCACTTTTACAGTATTCTTTTAATCATTACCAGCCTTACAGGTTGTCAATGGTTATTTAACACCTCTGACGCAGAAGCAAGACTGATATTTGAAGTAACCAGCATTTATGTAGATTGTGGAGATACTTTGAAGTTTTATGATGGTTAGTTTTTTCAATATAATACAATACGCAAACCTCTTTATATTTCGATCTCCTGGATTATTCGTGTTTTACATCTACAGGGATTCTATCTCATTAAAGCGCTCAACATTCACAAATAAATATTTCTATCATTCACAAGTAAATATTTCTACCTCACTATATTTACTTTTAACTTACAATGATTCAGAGTATCTAACTAACCATGCATGAGTCTTATTCTTTAATAAAATCTCCTTTTTAGTTTGGTTTATCATTGAAGTATTTTATAGCATAAAATAATCAATTAAGACACAATTGGTTTGGCATTCTCTACGATTAAGAAAAATATAAAGAATACATAGGGCTGTTGAAAATTAATTGATTTTTAACAAATATTTTGTAGCCAACACGGTAGATTAAAGTCTTTTTTATAACTGTTATAAGGGTCGAATTAAATCAGAAATGCATTTAAATTTTAAACAAAAAAATATCATTGAATTATCTGATGAGAACATTTTGTAAAATCTTTGACTTAATATAAATGAAATATTATTTATAAAAATATGTCTCTATATGTTTTTATTAATTACTATAGGCTCATCTTCCAGTGCCTCCACCTTTGGTAACTCAATTTGTTGCTCTTCCCAGTCCTCTTGTGGATCCGCCAAACTACCGGAAACGACGACCGGAAATAGCCTCTTTGTGGATTTTCTGTCAGACAGAACAGATAACTCGTATGAAACTGGGTTTACGTTTACCGTAGTAGTGGGAAAGGATGAATGTAAGAGAATTTTAAAGTTCAGATTAGTATTTGTGCAAATATTTACGAAGATTGATTGATTGATTGTATGTTGTTTTACGTCCCGTTTGAGAATTTTTCACGCAAATAGAGACGTCGTCATATACCGGTGAAGGGCTTAACATTTTGACCTGTACTCGGCACTCAAGGCCATTGAGTAGCGTGCCAAGGCCTACCGTGACACGGGGCCTCGGTTTTTCAGGTTTCATCCGAAGGACCCGCAACTTTCACGAAACAGATGGGTATTGATAATTCAGTTATTGAATACAAGGTTATTCTTTGATATATTTTTAGGAATTTACATTTTTCAGCAAATTGTTCGAACTCAGGAGCAGTTCACAACATTGCACTCACAGAACAAATAAGATTGACCTCTCCGGAGTTTCCGGCGACCTATCCACCGTGAGTATTATGAAACATTTGGGGTTCTTCAGTGTTAATATATTTCATTATGAATGATGTTAGGCATTTATATTTATCTTATATTTTGCAACATGCAGTATTTTCACTATATATATGAAGTTTAATTATTTTTGATTTTCTTCGGTCTGGTATTCCTGGTAAAAAATTTTTTTAAAATGTGCTACAAGTTTGAAAAATAACCATAATATTATCAAATGTACAAATCTTAAATGAGCTAATCTCCACCGATATCATTTGTAAGATAAAACACATTTGAAACGAAATAAAATATAATGTGTTGTTTGATGTTTTGTTAAAATTCTGTATGTAATGGTTTTTTTCTAAATTAATCAACCCTTTTAAGAAGAGATAATAAGCAAAATCTTTCAACGCGGATGGTATGATTTGGAGATTTTTGGGGCCACAAAGGGAGTCAGAGTGTAATCCAAGATAAGGAAAGCAATTGTTTTTTTTTTTATTATTATCATATATAAATTCTTATTTTTGTTCTTCGGAAATAGTTACATAATGTTGATATTAATCTTTCTCTGGAGTGATCCTTGTGCCCAGTCTAGTTCATATATATTACTACACTATAAGGTAATGGTATAGTCACATCAATGAACTTACTCAATCCACAATGTATCAGCTGACTGTACTTACTTGTGTTGAACAGATAAATTTTTTATTCCCTCTTTCTGCTATACATATATGGCCCTTTTCACTTTAAAAAAAAGAAAGAAAAAAAAACAAAAAACTCACGACTAAGTTTTTATCATTTTTTGTTTGAAAAAGATATTCATTTTTTTTTTCTAAAATAGTATTTGCAATTGTAATATAATATAATAGATTTACAAGATTTATGTGACCTACTACTGCTTAGATATTTATTAGAGAATATGACAAATCTTGTCTTAGTTTTAAGATATTTTGTGAAAGGGGCCACTGATCTTTTACCAATATGATTTTTTTTTAGGAATCATAATTGCACTTATACATACATCTATACTGGTGGATACGTTAAGTTAGAGTTCATTTATCTTCGTGTAGAGGGAGTAAATGGTGCTTGCTACGACTTCATAGAAATTTTTAACGGTAAAAATTTATACAAGACTTTTGCATGAAGATTTACAAAGTATCAGTCTATCTAAGAGTAACAAAGCCAAAATCAGATGAAGCAAAAATATTTCTACTAATGGCAGAAAGTACTTGAATTATTTTCAACGATGCTAAATAATCGATTCATTGTGGGTTTTTTTTAACTCAAAACTATTTTTAACGTTAAGATGATTTTTAGCTAAAAATAAAAAATTGATTTTATCTACAAAATATCGTTATTTTCATATAATATTTATTAATGGTAGTTGGAAGTTGTATATTTACTTGTAGGTAGATAATTCTTTGGATATCCAGCGCGTTTAAATGTACCAATGTTGTCACGCATTAATAATTAATCTTTATGAAGCAAATGTCCTATTAATGATATACTGGGATTGATTCAAAAGACTGTCATGTAATTTTGTCGAGCAGGCTGTTTATTTGCCATTGAATTAATTATTTTTCAAGAATGTGGACGTATTATACTATGTCCTTAGCGTAAGGTTTTCAATATATTGCAAAATACCAAAAATAAAATTGAATAGAACATTGAAAAGTCCGATACTTGAATGCTAGATGGATACCAAGACTTCTAAGAGAGACCAATGTGTGCTTGTGTGAGATATAGAGAATATTCAACGTTTTGTAGTTGGATATGGAATTTATTTCACGAGTTTGACATGATGTTTTGATATTTTCTCGAGTGCGAAGCTCGAGTGAAAATGTATATATAAAAAAAGTCCTGACAGTTAAGTAATATAAAATTCCATATTCGACTACCAAACATTGCGTTTTCTATTTATCATATTTTTTTTATATTTCTTCTTTCCCTTTGTCTCTTCTTAATACAGTGTCATTGGCTGTGACGTCATAGTTTAGCTGTTGAGACTTCATAGTTTAACGATTGTGAGATTGAAAACATTGTAAACATGGATTTAACAACTTAATATTTTTAGAGAAACTTTGGCAGTTTTAGTCTTTGTCAGGATGCTTAATAAACTCTCTCTTATATCAGGCCAGGGAGTATTTTTACAACCCCCTTCGAGAAGGGAAGGGAAATCGTGAGTTTTGCAGCACTGTTGATATTCTGTGAAAAAAATATCACATGGATTTTCTCTCCCGTGAAGATTTTGAATAAATTCTCTTTCATAGGAATATAAAAACAGGTTGGCATATAAATGAGCTCAATAAGTAGCCATATATATTCCAACAGATTACCTACATAGATATTTCAAAAAGAAACTCCAGCATCCTTTTTAATATCAAAATTCAGCAATTTTATATGTGTCCAAGAAACTGTACATTCATTTATTATCTTTGAATCAACCCTCCAATAGAACAATGAAAGTAAGAAATCTATCTAATGATGAATTCCTTTTTCCATGATATCAGGAAGTTCTACCAGTTCACCATTGATTGCTAAGGTGTGTGGTGATACCATTCCCACCGAGACGCACACTTCCTCTGATACATCCTTGACGATCAGATTCTACAGTGACTACCAGGAGAACAAAAAAGGATTCTTGGCATATGTGGCACCTGTGGGTAGGTCTGTAGTCACTGATACTAAATTGTTACAATCAGCTGACTTTCTGGAGGTCTTTAGTCACTTACTAATACAAACTTTTTAAACCATCTGACTTTCTAGAGGTCTTTAGTCACTTCCTTATACTAAATTATTATAACATATGACTTTCTAGAGGTTTTTAGTCACTTATTACCGGTAGTATTAAATTAATACATCATTTGACTTTCTAGAGATCTTTAGTAACTGCTTGAACTATATTATTACATTATTTGACTTTATAAAGATCTTTAGTCACTGATTGATACTAAATTATTTAAACTTTCAGGTCTTAAGGCACTCAATGATTCTAATTACTTACCATCATCTCATTACTTCCTATATTAGAAATGATGCTTCACCACCCACCTTTTACTATAAAAACATATATGACAGATGGCAAGAAAGGAATTGAATAAAATCTTTGAATTAATCTCAAGAACCACTGGACTAGAAAACATGAAACTTATGTGAAAGCTTCCTGGGGTGGTTTAGATTCTAAATTGTTTTGAACATGCCCCTCCCCTCTCTCCTGGGGGGTATGATGTGGCCAAATAGGGATCTAAGTTTTGTGTGAGAATATACAAATGTATATTGTACATGTATGTAATTAGATACTTTACACTGTACATACATTGTATGATTTGCTAAGAGAACCCGACAGACACTTTAATTTTTGATATTGTAATGTATACCCTACTTTTCTATTTACAAATATTTATTCATAACATTTTTTTGTTCAGATGTGCACGCCAACCCCAACTAAATTTCCAAGTATCAACAGAACATGAGTTATTGTAGACTATATAGATGTAGTTTTATATTGTGAATTCAGATTTGAATAATTTTCTAATTCCACTTTGAAAGCATATCTGTTAATCGATATTCTATCTTAAACATGGTATTTATTACAACAAATGTCTTAATACAATCGAGATAATCTTTCCTGATAATAACATCATCAGCAGATAACAAAGGAACGTCAGTTGTGATGGATACTACCACAACAGAATTGCCAACATCGGAACAAAGCAAAACATCGATATTGCCAACATCAGAACAAAGCCAAACATCGATATTGCCAACATCAGAACAAAGCCAAACATCGATATTACCAACATCGGTACAAAGCCAAACATCGATATTGCCAACATCAGAACAAAGCCAAACATCGATATTACCAACATCGGTACAAAGCCAAACATCGAGATTGTCAACTTCAGAACAAAGCCAAACATCGACATTATCAACTGCAAAACCCACTTTGACATCGACTTCAGATATCGTTCTACAATCGTTGGATAAATTCAAGGGCCCGTTTATTAGTGGAAGTGTGGTACTTTCGCTTATAATAATCACCATATTAGTATTCATTTGTTCAAGAAACAGGTAAATAACAAAGACATTTATTTACTACATTTTGCAGATAGATTCTTATTAAAAAAGTTATCTGTATATCTATGAACAGATTCAAGGGAACAGTATTTGGCCGTATATTATAATGAGCACTATGTTGTTTTTGGTTATGTTTGAACTTTGAAATGTACTTGAAACATGTTAACATTTAACATGCTCAAATATTCCTCCTCAAAAGTATGCAGAAATGTTCAAGTTCGAACAAGTGCTCAGTATATATTGCTCTATGTTAAGTTTGTTCTAATCTTTTAGTGTATATAAATTTGAAAGTTTACCTCAGCATGCATATTTAAATAATTTCTAACAAATACGATTGAACATTTCATTGTAAAAACAAGCTTGCATGTACTGAATTACATACCTAATGATGCATTCAAATTTTACTGCGTTGTGGTTATTGCTGAGTTATGAGCCTCTCCCTTTTTAGCTCACCTGAGCCAAAGGCTCAAGTGAACTTTTTTTGATCAAAATTTGTCCGTTGTTTGTCGGCGTCGTCGTTGTCGTTGGCGTCGTTGTTGTTGTCGTCGTAAACTTTTCACATTTTCATTTTCTTCTCCAGAACTACTGGGTCAATTTCCACCAAACTTGGCACAGAGTATTCTTGGGTGAAGGGGATTCAAGTTTGTTCAAATAAAGGACCACGCCTTTTTCCAAGGGGAGATAATTGCGAATTCATGAAAATTTTATGGCATCTTTCAAAAACCTTCTCAAGAACCACTGTGTTAGAAAATATGAAACTTATGTGGAAGCATCCTCAGGTAGTGTAGATTTAAGTTTGTTCAAAGCATGACCCCCGGGGGGTAGGGTGGAGCCACAGTGGGCAATCAATTTTTACATAGGAATACATTGGGAGTATCCTTAAAAACCTTCTTCTCAAAAACGACAAAGCCTTGATTGGCATTATTTACATGGAAGCATCCTCAGGTAGTGTTGACTCAAGCTTGTTCAAATCACAATGGGGTCACAGTGGGCGATGAAAGTTTTACATAGGAATATATAAGGAAATTTTGAAAAATCTTCTTCTCAAGAACAGCAAAGCCATGATTGGTCATATTTATATGGAAGCATCCTCAGATGGTGTAGATTCAAGTTTGATCAAATCATGACCCTCAGGGGTAGATAGGGGCCACAATGAAAGTTTAAACTTGTAGGAAAAAAGTCACAGTTAGTCAAAAAATGTAAGCATCCTTAGTTAGTGAAGATTCAATTTTGTTCAAATCATACCCCCTCCCTTTTAGGGGTAGGTTGGGACCACTTATATATTTAAGCATTGCAATACTAAAGTGGTTTTTGCTTCTTCTTTTTTTCCTAGCCACAGTGCTCAGATAAGGGATGTGGCCCATGGGCCTCTTGTTTTCAATTGTTTCCCCTCCAAATTTCGACTAATATAACATCATTTACTCTATTGATTCTCTTAAAACTTGAAACTTTTTCTAAAATAAATTCATTTATATTTATCGGTAGGTGACCAGGGGTTATATATATTTATCCAGGTTTTTTTTTTAAAAAAAAAAAAAAAAAAAAAAAAAAAAAAAAAAAAAACAGATTTCCTAACATACTTACTGACTAAATATTTAATATTAAACATTTCAGAACCAGTCAGCATAAATCCAAAGAAAATAAAGTAAAAGGAGTTGATCTGCAAAACCTGTTTGGTGGACAACATGCGATCGATCCCAGACCACACATATGGACCTATGAAGGATTCACATTTTATTCCCACAAAAATGAAAATTGAAAGAAAAACAAAAAAGCATTGACGATATCTATCTTCTTAGCACCCATCTAATGTTGCATTCGATATCATATACTTTTCTGACTTAGAGAGAAATTTCTAACATATGTATAGTATAATATATAAACATATATAGTAATTCTTACAATATTAAATGAAAAACGATTGAGATTTTGTTCCAATGTTTTGTAACGTTGCTATTTTATTTTTTAATAGACACTGCTCCATGCCACAATTTCGAAATTATTTAAGAATTACATATTAAAGAAATGACTCTAAAAGAAAGTCAGATACTCCTTAAGGTCAGTAGCAACAACTTGCCCAGGTTAAAACCATTCGATGATTTGATCTTGAAACCATATACCTCTAGTATCCTATTTACTCAGTAACCTTAACCTTCAACATCTGTCCTTGAGTCAATATCATGGTTTTCTCCTTCTCTCAGTCTGTTTTACGATAAATTCTTTTCTTTGACATAAAAAAATGGAACTCATAACTTTACATACCTTGTCATTAGTTATCTGCATATTTATTTTGTTAAAAAAACGTTTTGATCCACACAGTAGCACTTTGCTGTTGATATTACAAAGATGCCTGAGTTTCTCATTAACAATATCTATGTGGTTTTCGGAAATCAGTTTTTCCTGATGGAATACCAATTGGAACTAATTGTGCCCCGTTATTAGCAGACCTGTTTTTTGTATTCATATGAAGTAGAATTTATTCAAAAAACTTCTAAATAAAAAAAGAAGAAGTATCTTGTTGTGGCTTTCAACTCGACATTTATATATATCGATATATGCTCAAATATTCCTCCTTATATTTTATCAATAACTGTTTTATTAATAATGAAAAAGATGAAAATAAGGAACGGTTATAGATCTAAAAATGAAAATAAATAAACAAACAATACAAATCTGTGAAAAGGAAATCTAAAGAACGGACCCCGGACATTTCGGAGGTGGAATCAGATTCCTAGGATAGTAAGCCTACCCTGTTGACCGGTCACATCAGCCGTTATCTCTATGTATTGATCAGGTCGTATTGATCGTACTCAGATCATTCAAATAAATGAAAGTAACTATTATTAATTGATGAAATCTCGTCGATATAATTAAATGTCGAGTTGTTGGCCACAGCAAGTCTTTACATCTTGTTATGTAGAGGTTTTTGAATAAATTCTGCTTCATAGCAACAAAAATATATATCGACTCAATATGTCCCTGTGAACTTTAAAGATACCACAGAATCTGCCACATCTATTTCATATTTGGATGTTTTACTAGAAAAAGACATTTGATGGCAAACTGACAACTAAACTTTGTGAAAAAAGGAATGACTTAAACTTTTCTTTCGCGCACTTTCTCTTATGTAAGTATGTAACAATATACTTTTATTTCCTGCACATGGAGTTTATGTCTCAAAGTTGATTCGGTACACGAGAGCATGATTTATGTGCAAACAGTTTCTAAAACGAGGTAAGCTATTTACAAATAGGTTAATGATACAAGGATATCAACAATCTTGTTTAAAGTTAACATTTTGAAAATCGCATGGTCGATACAATGACCTTGTTGGCAAATGCAATCTGTCGTTTTGTCGAATGCCGACTGACATCTTTCACACAAATTGTTAGGTTATTATTTTCACACTGAATTACCTATGGACTTTTCCGTTTATCCGACCATGATAAGGAATATGTCCTATCCGCAGGAGATCCTTACTCCTCAATGGCATGGGATCTCACCTCTGTTTTCAGAAGTCCGTGTTGACTTTGTTCATAATTTGTATTGTTTAATAGGGCTGTATCAATATATCGATACGTATCAATATTCAAGAATGTATCGTATCGAAGAAATAACTTCCAATACGTACAGGGCAGGCAGTTTTCTTATAATTCTGTGAAAAAAGTTGGGAGTTCCAATCACCAAAGATTATATTTTATTGTTTGAAGTAAAGCAGATCAATAATGATATAAATATTAAGGAGATAGGACATCTTAAATAAAATGTAAAATGAATAGATAATGTTTTTTAAACATGTTGGTTTTACAGTCTTTAAAAGTTTGAATTTCAGTGTATTTTGTAATGACAGTAGGAAAATAACTTCAAAATGGGTTATAAAACATTCATTTTTTATAAATTGTATGTATTAAATGATTTACATGAGTTTTTGATAGACTTGTTAAAGTATCCAATATATTGCATATGGCTTTATAAAATATCGTATCGAATTTTTTTCCTCAATACACAGCCCTATTATTTCAATTGACTTTTGAGGATGATAATAGTTCGTTGTCAATTTTAATGTAGCATGTTTAAATGTCTTTTAAGAATGACTAGTAACCAAAGGTATTATAGTATTTAGGATATGACATTATCTTTCCAAACAATTTTGATGTATGAATAGAACAAGAATACTGTCAAGAAATGAAACAGTTGAAGAAAAGTGTCTTTTTAATCATAAATTCTATTAATTTCATCCAACAACTGAACTCTGAAAAGAATAAAATATGGAGAGGAATTATAAAAAAGCATTTAAAAAGCATTCTCAAATGTTCAATAAAAATGTTCTGAAATCGAATGGTATAATTGCGAAGTGTCATGGGCGATCAAGAATTATTATTATGAAAAATCCGTTAAAGTAAAATTTGCTTTAAAACTACAGGAAATAAAAGGAGTTTGTTATAAGAACTTTACAAAAACAATCAAATGGCCTTATATTTAAGTGATTTAGCCAGTTAATTTTTTTTACGTGTTGTAAGCTTTTAAACGTTGACTGACCCCAAATGGAGCTGATATACACATTGCTGGAACATCAAATACCGAAGAATCTGATATACCGGAAGTGATGTCATGGTAACCGATTGAGCCAACTCTGCCATCTGGAATGTAATTTATAATTATGTTAATATTTGTTTCATTATTTGCCTTAGCATATCAACATGTTTTGTTTCGGAATTAAAATTCAATTTTAATTTGAATTGTGTCAACATAACTTATGCAAACTATTGAAAATAAGATGAAAAGTTGATCGAATTACGTTTTGCCTTGAATTGCAGAATTCTGGTTCTACGTTGCACATGGATCGAAAAATGAACTTATTTACGATAATACCAAAATAATATAGAATATGTAAAACATCTGGAACTGCGCTATAAAATCGAATCAGTTTGAGTTGCTGCGTTACTTTTAGCCCAGTCTCTTATAAAACACCTGTGGAAAGTAAATTAAATTGCCGTTCTAAATCGAATCCTTTTCAAACCGTTCTTTTTAACTTAAAAAAACTGGAAAATTTCTTATAAACATGGTTCAGCTTGAGTAAAAATAAAAAAAATACCAGAAACATCCGATATCGAATTCATAATAAAGTAGGATAATAAAGTAATGTCATACTTCCGTTTTCATCGGTTCCGTGAAAATTAATTCCAACTGGAATACAACCATCTGATACAGAATAGTAAGACGGATAGCCGTTAACTAATCCGGAATATATTTCCACAGGGATCTGCTGACCCCCTGCTCCGTAATGGGTCTTGGTAAGTACTGTGGAGTTGTTTCCATTCATTCCTTAAAAAAAAGTCATTTAAATTTGAAATGTAGCCGAATTTCTTCCCTTTTTAATTTTTTTAAAAAAACCTTTTTATAATTATTATTTTATTTTTCTTTATTTTTTTTTAATTAATTAATTAAATTTTTATTTCTTTTCTATTTTATTTTAATTTTTCGTCTGTTTTACAAATGAAGATTAAAAAAACCTCATTTGTCTTTTTCATTAAAAAAAAAAGAGTTTAAATCTCTCTATGTATATGAGGACATAGTGTAGAGTTATTTGATCACATACTCTGAGAAAATTTTTTTCCCTCAATATATATATATATATATATATATATATATATATATATATATATATATATATATATATATTAGGGATGTCAAATCGGTCCATTTTTGATAATCGGTTACTCGGACGTTTTTCCGATCGAGTACCCGGGTACTCGGTAAAAATGAAAATAAGTGTGTTAATTTTCTTGAGCCTGGTTAAGCTCTGTTAAATTCCAAAGCCGTTTTTATCACGTTTATAAATGTATATAAACAACTGAGTCAAAGGGGAAGTGATTTTTGGTACCAAATTTATTTATCAAATAAACACAAAAGACACAATTCATACATCAAACACTACAAATGGTTTACAGTTCTTGTTTAGGACCTATTTCATCAACGCAAAAGGAGGACAATCTTTTACGCAGGTTTGTGATGTTAGACTAGCGAAAGAGAAGGAAAGGACGTTGTTGGTATTGCTAGTCTAATATTATTTCATATGTTGGTTGTTTCTCACTAAACTTACTATGCAAACTGACTTTCAACATTTTTTAAATCTTTAGTTATTTCTAAATATTTCTTCACTTTTGAAGTGTGTAGCGGCATTTCTATGCATGTCTGATTTCACCGCTGTACATGTGTATATTTATTACATAATTTAAGAAGATAAAAGACCAAACTTAAACGATGTTTAGTGAAAACAATCATTGAAGCCATCCAAAATTTAAGGACCACAAAAGGTGAGAACTGCTGTGAACCAGATGATTGGTCATTTATTACCGTATATACATAGCCACAGGCGATAACGGGTGTTTTACAGGTGTAGATGACGACACGCTAATTACCGTATGCATATTTAAGTTATTTTTTGATAAGTTTTTGATTAAAATATGTACTTTGAAATAAGAAAAAATACACTTCCGAGTAACCGAGTACCATTTTTAGTATTCGATACTCGGACGTTCGATCGAGTACCCGGTTAACCGGGTACTCGTTGACATCCCTAATATATATATATATATAGATAGATAGATAGATAGATAGATAGATAGATAGATAGATAGATTTCATAGATAGATATTCAGGAATGCTCTCTGTAAGCATTGTATATGATTTTTGTAATGGACACAGGTAGTATATCTCTATCTTTAAAACCGTATTATTTGATTTACTAGACATTAATTATCATTTTATTTCTTTTTAGGTCACCTGAGTCACTCAGGTGGCCTATTGCTATCTGTTTTTGTCCGTCGTCGTGCGTCGTCCGTCGTGCGTTAACTTTTGAACATTTTAAACTTCTTCTCTAGAACCGCTCAACCAATTTCAACCAAATTTGGTATATAGCATCTA